ATTGTTTCGAACATTTGACGCTTAGCCATAAGCGCTTAATTCCATATTATAAATTTTACTTTCCTTATAAATTTAGCACCAATGCTCTATTTTGATATATTTGTGATGGTCATTTCAGTTGTTTGAAGAGGTATATCAAATCTAAAGTGAGTTGTACGACCTCAAAATAAAATCGTTGGTGGTACACCACTTGTTATTATTGCTAACAATATCATGCCTCTTGATCTGACATTTGCAAGTAATGCATAACATAGCCATATTATTTCAATTGCGCCTGACGAATCTACACAGGATAATCCCGTTATACCAGAGTCGTCTCTTTATAATATGGTCTTGAAAGCTTATTCTGTTTAGAATTTAGCTTTGATTGTGGTTCCTCAAACACATGTATGGCCTTTTGATTCTTAATACTAAACTACCCTTTTTACTTTGTGTTCTAATTTATTTCTCACACATTTATATTCTTAAATATTTTCTTACTTGTTCTTTAATAATTTGGTATATTTTCAATATTACACAAAAAATAATTAAATAAAATGTTATTTGAGTAGAAAATCAGTTAAATATAATATAAAAATATTATGTTTTTTTCTCAATTTCAACGATGTATGCAGTCCATATAACATTATTTTTATTTTTTCTTCGTTTGGGCATTATGGAGTAGTACTGTAATGCTAATACAGAGGATTCTTATGAAATTGATTTTATTAAGTCTTCCTACATATTTTTACTAAGAATTTAATAGATAAAATTTTATAATTTCAAAATCTTAAATATTAAAAAAAATTAACGTAGAAGGTATTCTGTCCAAAAAATAGGTTATTATTGTTAGTCATTTTCCTATGAGTTCTTATGTTTAATATTTTAGGGCTATTTTGGTCTATCAATATTGTATTAGTACTTTTATAATAATATATAGGCTCTCTTTTTTCTAAACGGATTTGGATAATATAATATATTCTCAAATTAAATTAGTAACAGGATAATACAATATTTTCAACTTAAATTAGTAATAGAAATTTTTAAGAAGTATATCCTAAAAGTAATAGGATTACACGGCTAAAAATATGTTTCAATTGCAAAAGTAATTATATTAATAGGAATGTAACGTGTTCCTAAAGGTATTAGGTTTACATGCTAACATGTAGTATTATATGTCTATACCCGAAAGTAATTATATGCTTTCTGCATTTGGGTATCTTGAAGAGTTTATGGGAATAGTGTTTTATAAAATATAGAAAAAATAAAAATAATGATATGAACTCCTTTTTTTTTTCCAGCACAAGAGTTCGTTTAAATGTACGCCGGACATGGACGGTCTGACTAGTTTTGTGGCCTAAAGTTAAAATTTATGTGGGGCCTTAACTTTATTTTTTTAAATTAATTATTTATTTGAAGTCTATATTTCTAGCGTTTTTTTACATACAAAGTTATTAATAAGTTTCTATAATCAATAACTCCTAATAAGTGTTTCTTAATTGACAATATAACTAATCAATTTAATCTTTATTGAGATATTGTTGATCTTATGTGAGATTTTATAATTTTAATTTTGAAAATTTCTTTCTGATGAAACGACGGAAACAAGAGTTATTAATATTATTTCATAAGTAATATAGGCATTGGAAAAAGAATCAATTTTTTGACCGAGTGTATCAATTAGACTGTTATCTTCTAATTATACTATTTTCTTAATATTTCAAATTCCGAAAATAAATCCAAACCATCAATATCGAATTGATTATTATACTTTAAAGGAACAATCAAGACTAAGGCAATATTTTTTAAAATTTTCATCATCTAGTGATCTTAATTTTTACCGCTAAATAGAAAATCAAAAATATTTTCATATGCTTCGAATTGTTCAAATCTATTTTGAAGTGAAAAAAATAAGCTTGTCTAAATGTATAAAGTAATCAACTCCAAAGGATTCTTGGAAAGATTTTGAGATTTTATTATCAACATTCTCATCAAATTGTTACTTCCTATATATCATACGTTCCGTACGAAATTCGGTTCGATATTCATTTCAAGTGCAATTTTCTTGGCAGAAATCATAGCAGTTGCAAATCTTTCTTCTCTGTACCTATTAAAGAAAGAAATTAATTTTTTTTACTTCACAAATCCTTTTTTTAAACTTATGCATAGCCTATAAGGTGTAACAAAAAATGGGTCCCTCATAAATGTGGGGCTTAAATCAGTTGCTTTACTTGCTTTATGGAAGGACGTCCCTGACGTCGAAGTAGATTACATGTCATTTACAAAACACGCCACACCTAGTAAGCTCTCCGTCACGAACCAAATCACGTTTAGATCATCCTAACAAGCCCTACTCCTTTGACCATTTTTTCACAGCCTTGCAACATCTCAATCACCTGCTCCCAAACATCCGCAAGAAAATCTACCATTTCAGCAAGTGGAATAGGTTTGGGAAATGGATTGTTGCTTCCCAGCAGACTATCATAGGTAGCATTCCAACTTAATTTGGGTTCAAGCAGCTTCAACTTAATTTGGGTTCAAGCAGCTGTTTTGGTTTCTCGGGAATTTTATGTCCAACCCATTGCTGTCTGATTTGGCTCCAGAGGAGGACTCTTCTCCAAAAAAAAAAAAAAAAGTTGAGACATTAGCGAACGATTTCCTGTGCAAACGATAATTCCTCAATCATACTTTATTTTCGACTTAAAATCTCAGTTAATTTTAAATTCTAAAATTTTAACTTTTGATATTTTATCCAACGTAGAGTTATTTATCTTAAGAATGTTTTGGTTTACCAACATTGTATTCGTAAATATTGCATTGGAGCCTTGTCAGGTAGGATTCTTAACATGTAGTATTATGTTCTAATACTAATAGGTTTATAAGGCTAATATCTAGAATTTCGGTTACGTCCTTTTATTATGAGTTATTATGCTTAATATTATAAGGTTATTTTTGTAAATCGACATTATATTCATGCTTTTATAATAACTAGCTTCTATGTGTGTGCGTTGCACGTATATCTCTTGTTAACTATTAAAAGGTAAGGTGAAAAGTACTTCTTCCTCCAACTTTATATTAAAAAGAAATCCATCCAACTTTAAACAAATAAACAATTATTATGGCACGTCCCAAAATATGTCAATCAAGCAATCGTTTTAGAAAGACAATGTAACTTTACCTTTTAAATTCGATTATTAAGTTATTCTTTTTGTTTCATCATATTTTCTGTCTTTCATAAAAAAATATGTGTACGTTGGCAAATGTTATGTATTGAGTAGTTGCGTGTTTTCTTTGCTCATCTTTGTACATACATATTTAGAGCCAATGTACATATGAATGTTAGTAAATTTTATCTCTATTATATATTGCGTAGTTGCCTATTTTTTTCTCGTCTTGTATATATATGTTTAGAGAATGAATATTTGAGTTTTGAGCTCTTCGTAGAAAGACTTTTAGTATTAGAAATATATATAGTAAGTCTATTTAGCCAAATCAAGTAGACTTCATTTAATGGTGGTATATCATGTTGCAGTAATGATAAATAGTTAAAACAATTATTAAGTTAAGAAATCAAAACAAGGGAGGCAAACTTTGTATTATGAATTGCTTGGAAGATTAGTGTTACAAGCCAAATTTGGAGGGAGGTATGTGAAATTATGCTTGTATAAAACGTAAGTAGTTTTTTTAATAGATTATTAATTTTAATACGTCCAAATATTAGAAAATTTATTGTGACGTATCATGTAAAAAAAATTGTTGCCTGTGCAAACGTACGACATTATCGGAATTCATACTTGAAATTGAGAAGGCCTGTTTTAGGATTCTCTCACTGTAGCTAGACAAGTCTAAACTGAATTGGTTAATTTTAATTTTAAACAAGAAACTCAATTTAAAAAATTATATTTGTGCAAGATCCCAGTATCCAATATTTAACTTGAAAGCAACATTCAAACTTGAATTGAAAATGCTGTTGATTCGTATTAGGATTCTTTCACACAAATTGTAGTCAAATCATTGTGTGATTAAGTTCCATTAGAATTCTATCTCACTTTAGCTTTGTTGTATTTCATGTCTTAGTTTACTATATATTTTAGACTAATTTTATATACTTAATTACTTAATAAAAAAAACTAAAAATAAGTAAATTTTTTATAAGCGAGACCCAATTTTCTTACCAGGGCGACTGATGGTGAAGCAACTAAAGCATTTGCTTTAGGCCTCACTCTTTTAGGGGCCCCAAATTTTAACCATAATAGAGTACTTAGTTAAATTTATATTAATTATTTTAAGTAGAAAGGTTCTTTATAAAAAAAAATAATAGTAATATTATAACTTATGATTGATTTATTATTTCAGTAAAATATTTGGTAATGTATATCTTTCACTAAATTCTATACGTGTGAATAAAGTGTGGAATAGGTTTGACATGAATATTATTGTTTTCTCTCTTTAATTTTCCTAAATATAAAACGGGTAGATTTTAGAAAATTATGTATGATTTTACATATAAAAATTTTAAAAAATAGACTTCAGATAAAATAAATATTAATTTTTTAAAATTTAAGGCCTCTCTCTAAAGTTTGGCTTTAAGCCTCCAAACTTATTGAGCCGCCCCTGTTTCTTACCTTTCTTATTTTCATATGTGAGTTCGATGAATATGAATTTGAGTTCAAATTCAAATATAATATGTTCCTAGAGTAAATTTCATGGGTGGTCAAGTTCAAATACATATATTCCTATCAACATGTTTGCATTCATACCTAAATAAATGATCACGGTTACCTTGTTCCACAAAGAAGAAACTATGCATGTTATATAGATACAACTTCTAAATTAACAGGTGCAATTTGCGTAACCATACAAAGCGAAAAATTTATCTACGGTGGAAAAAAAGTAAAAATTTATCTACCTATCTGAACAATAATTTAATAGAAGAATACAATTATTACAAACCTTAATTCTCATCATAAATTCTCTAATATATCAAGATATTCAAACATAAAGCACAAAGAATTTTTTTACTAAATGAGCAAGAACTCAACTGTTGTATCGCAAAGCAACATATATAACCACCTTCGGCCTGCAATCACAAATAAAATATATTGAACAATTAGTGACAATTCTAAAAGTTAAATAAAAAGGTATGCACGTATCTTACAAATAATTATGCATCGTCATAATTAACAAATAGTTTTCATTATATAAAGGATATGGAGTTGGAAGGCGTAACTGAATTAGAATCCATTACAAATAAGGTATGATTCCTTTATGCAGTGGCGGTGATTTTCTAAAATCTTGGTTGATTTTGGAGTTCTATTATAAGCAAAATTCTAAATTTTACAATTTTACCCCTATGGTATTGGATTTTACCAAAGAGAATTAAAATTTTAAGGGTATAAAAGTCGATTAATATTTTAAAGATATTTTTATCGTTCAACATTTAGTGTTTCAATATTCGTGCTTTTATAATAATATAGATAGATAGATATAGATAGATAGATTAGTGGAGCATTTTGTCTCTATATAAGAAAAAAGGAATCATACAGAGTTTGATTGAGTAGTAATTTAATAACATTATCCACCGTCGGGTGTAAGGATCGATTCTTATTGTTCTATTTCCTTTTCCTTATTCTTATTTCAAGTTTTAAATAATTAATAGCACATATAAAATTCAAATAGTTTAATGGTATCATGAAAGTTTTATTTCCACAAACACCCCTCACCCCCACCCCTCCCATTTTTTGTTGTGCGTAGGATTGCTGGGGAGACCTCCGATCTGGGTCACTCTATGTTGCCTGGGTCCTCTCACCAACCACGCGAAACTCAAGATGACGAAGACTTGCACTCTTCGAGAAAAGGAAGAATGGATGAGGATCGATACGGGGATGTCGGCCCCTCCTCAGTATAGTGGCGAAGCCACATGATCATAAGGGTGGTCAACTGACCGTCCTTCGTCAAAAAATTGCACTGTGTACATTGGTGAAATATTATGTTTTAGAGCTATATAACACACATTGAACACCATTTGTCGGAAAATTTTTTCACTTCTTTTAAATTTGAACACCCTTGGAGAAATTCCTAGCTTTGCCACTACCTCAGTATGAAGAAGGGTGGGTTCCAAAGAGGATTGTGCCAACCAAAGCTTTGACTCTGAGAGGGAGTTGGCGTCAATCTCCGCAGGGGGCTAACCCAATCTTCGCGCATACTTCCTTGGTTGTCTGGGAGTTGAATCGGAAGTATCGAATGAAAGGTTCTTTCCAAGACCATCTGCTATTGAATTAGTTGTTGTTGCCGGGCGAGATTCTATCTTTACCTTGTAGTACATGGGATTTGATTCTAGGAAGATCATTTCTTGGATGGATCATAAATTATACAAAGGATGGTCTCTGTAAGAAGGACCAAAGTGCGCTGAAAAAACCTACCGACTCTTGCCAGTTATAACAACCAGAACGGATTAGCCTTTATTCGCCAATAAACAAAGCTTTCTGACTCGGCCTTGAGAAGCTTGTATCCTTTGGATTCTTGGGACCTAACGAGACAGGACAGCCTATATCGAAGGATATAAATTCATACCTTGCCTATTTCTAGGGCTTGAGTTGCTCGGATGTTATTGCCCTTGCTCCGCGCCAGCTTGCTCTCTCACCCCTCCACCTTTGCATATACCTAGGATTCTCATTTGGTTGGGCTGTAGTTTCATAGATCTACATGGGAATCTTCGTCAGATCGATCATACAGTCACAACCAATCAATCAATCATTTGTTTTGAAAGAACTCTTCAAGGAACAAGTGATCTTTCTATCTCTCAGCGACGTCATGATCTTCTCCTTTAAGACGGAGCATCTTGTTGTAGGGTAACTGACGATGCGGTGATTTGCAATACTTGGGATCATCTACCTTTTTTAGATCTTTCAACGTGTTGCTGAGATTCAATGATTCCATCATAGGCCCTTCCCTACAGCTTAGAGATCTTATAAGCTTTTGGGGCTCTGTAGAGATTGGAGCGGATTCAGTGAAATATGAGGCTCAAGTGGTTAATCCGCTTATTCAAGGGATATTCTAAGAGGAAAGTACACTATGATAGCTCGTCAATCTCATAGCATCGATGGCAAACCTACTTTTATGGCTTCAGACTTCCTTTACCGTTGAAAGGTTGGAATTCAGGAATCGTGGACCACATCCTTTATTCTAGATCGATGTGCCACCAATACATTTTACCTTTGAAATTTGGCTTTACCCGGGCCGCTTCTCGATCGAAATCCCTTCCATGGATGTCATCGTGCTTATCTCTTCTCAAGTTTTTTGCATCCAATCAATATATGCAGAGTGTCCAGTTGGAATAAAAAAGTTTTAAATATTAACTGGTTTAACATCTTTTCCTCTCTCTTTTTTCCCCTCAATAAAGTGAGTTTAGATTTAGAAAAAAAATAGTGATCTTGGTTTTCTAAATATTGTGTTATTCTAATTTTGATCATTCTATTGTTCAACGTAACACGTTCACTTTTAATTAGATTAAATATTTGATTCTTCAATTGAATCAAACGTGTGATTTAGTAGGCGTTTGGACATAAGAATTGTAAAATTCCAAAAAAACGGTAAAAATGGCATTTGAAATTGAGAGTTGTGTTTGGACACGAATATATTTTAGGTTGTTTTTGAAGTTTTGTGAGTGATTTGAGTGAAAATTTTGAAAAACAGTTTTTTGGAGTTTTTCAAATTTCCAAAATGCATTTTCAAGTGAAAATTGGTAATTTTATGAACAAACGTTGAATTTCGAAAAAAGTGAAAAATTTTTAGAAAAAAGGGAAAAAATTTTTTATGTCCAAACGGGCTCTTAGTCCTTACAATTGCAATATGATGGAAACCAAAACTGCTTAAAAGAGGAAGAAGAAAAAAAGCATAACATCATAAAGTGTTACTAGTATTAGTACCCGCACGTTGTGCGAATAATATTATGATCCTGCTAAATTCTATAAATTAAAAGAACAAATTATATGAATAACTATTGACATAAACTTAAATATTATAACCTCATATACAGCCGGTGACACACATAAATAAAAATACAATATGATTCAAAAATAAATACTCCTTCCCTTTCAATTTACATAAAATATTTTTCTTATTAGTCTGTTCCAAAAGAATGACACATTTCTGTATTTGGAAATAATTTAAATTTAAATTTTTTATTTTACCTATTTTAATATAATGAGAAGTTCTTACACTCATGCAAATATCATGGTCGCACAAAACTATTAGGACCATAAGTTTCAAAAGTTTTCTTTTCCGTTCTTAAATTTCGTGCCAAGTCAAACTATCTCATCTATATAGAAACTGAGTGAAGTCATACTATATAGAGTAATAACAAATAAAAATATATTTAGTAATATCTTAATTTAAATTAAAAAATATATTATATTATTATCTCAACATAATAAATTCTCACATCAACATCATCTTCTACCAACCTAAAATTACACAGTGATAAATTAATATATACATACATGATAATTTATTAACAACCAATATATCCTAACTTTTGGGAGTTACCAACTTATAAAACAGTTAAATCGTAACTTGCTCAATAATTTTGCTAGTTACCTCAATTTTAACCACATAATTAAAGTCACATTTTTTTTAACAATTTAAATGATACCTTTGGGATATAGTTAAGATTAAAATATTATAATTAATACATGTTAACCTACTTTAAATATTTTTCTTCTACGATACACATGTACTAAATGAAGATGATTTCTTACATGTAATTCTTAATTAAATGAATCTTACCTTATGATTTTGTGATTCATTTTATTTTGTGTAAATAGCAATCCCAAATAGTGCAATTATATTCATCTATGTGTTTACCCTATCCAAATCTATTTCATTCTAATTGACACACACACACACACACACACACACACACACACACACACACACACACACACATATATATATATATATATATATATATATATATATATATATATATATTTCCATCGGTTGCTCGATCCATTGGCTCTTACAATTTGAGAGAACATAAATATCAACAACGCGCTAAAAAGTCATTGTCCATACCTGAGCCATTAGAGAAGAATCTATCCTCCCTTCTTATATATTTTAGCATAGCAACTGCTAGCACTAATAGAAAAATAAAAATAATGTATGTATTGCTTCCAAACAATTGAGATATAAAATAAATTATAAAATATTAGATAATTAATTTTACTTTAAGACAACTCAATTGACATTTGTTTAGCCAATGTTTGAGTCGATTCATAGTTAAATATTATCCTTTCCTCTTTGCAATTGCTATGGAGTACCTGAGTAGAAGCTTGAATGGACTGAGGAAAGAAAAGAAATTCAAATATCACCCAAGGTGTGCTAAGCATGTCATAACTCATATGAGCTTTGCAAATGATCTGCTATTATTTGCAAGGGGTGACATGACCTCAGTAACTCGACTACAACACTGTCTTAATCATTTCTATGCAGCTTCAGGTTTAAAGGCCAATCATGAAAAGAGCTCAATTTTCTTTGGAGGAGTTACTCAGTTGGTAAGTGATGAGATAGTCCAGAAATTTGGTTACTCTAGAGGTACACTGCCAGTTAAATACCTTGGAGTACCCCTAACCACTAAGAAGATGTTCATAGCTCAATGGCAGCCACTTATTGAAAAGATGGTGGCAAGAATCTCTTCATGGACAGCAAAAAAACTCTCATATGCTGGAAGAATTCAATTAGTGCAATCTGTGCTATTTGGTATTCAGGCTTGTTGGTCTAAACTATTTCTAATACCTAGCAAGGTATTGAAGACTATTGAGGCATACTGCAGAAGCTATGTATGGTCAGGAGTTAATATTATCACAATAAGATCTTTGGTGGCATGGGACAAATTGTGCACACCTAAAAGTGTTGGGGGACTGAACCTAATCAACCTTAAGCTATGGAACAAAGCAGCAGCAGCAAAGAATTACTGGGATCTAGCAAATAAAGAGGACAAGATGTGGATCAAATGGATTCATGCGTACTATATAAAAGGGCAACATATATCTAATATGCCAATACCACAGCAGGCATCCTGGCTAGTTAGGAAATGATAGAGGCAAGAAGATCAGTGACAACAATTCATATCCAGCAAAAGCAGAATAATAGCATGATCAGACAGTTATATTTGGCTATGTTGGGACAATTACCAAAGGTAGAATGGAAGATGTTCATGTATGGAAATGAAGCAAGGGCAAAAGCTAAGTTCACTATGTGGCTATACTTCCATGACAGGATGCTAACTAGTGACAGATTGAGTAAATTGGGGATGCAGGTGGACAGGGAATGCCGTCTATGTCAAAAACATGATGAAAACAGAAATCATATCTTCATTGAATGTGAGTATACTAAGAATGTTTGGACAAAGCTACTGAAATGGATGCAAAGGCAACAACTGTGGGCAACATCCTAGGATCAACACTGGCAATGGGCAGCTAAGAATGCAAGAGGGAAATCAAGTAAAGCAGGAATATTCAGAATGGTATATGCAGAAGCACTTCATGAGATATGGAATGAGAGAAACCTTAGGATATTTGAAAAGCAAAGCAAGAAGGCTAAAGACTTAGCTAGGAACATAGCATGCATATGTAAAGTTAGAGCAACAAATCAAAATAGGCAGCTTATACAGAATTTTTAGTTTTGATGTAAATATAAGTAGAGAGGAAATGAGTACAGTAGTTACATGTATAGGGGAGAGAGATACTGTCACGACCCAAAATTCACTAAAGGTCGTGATGGCGCCGGACACTGCTGTCAGGCAAGCCAACCAAGTTACTTAATCAAATTCTCGTTTTAGTACTTCTGAAATCTATGATTTTCCTTCAAGTTTAGCAATATTAAAGAATATAGTCTCAAGTCAAATTTAAATGATAAGCAGTTAATACAATACTTCAAACTATCCCAGAACCCGGTGTCACAAGTGCATGAGCATCTACTGATAGGGAAGTAAAATACAGCATCCGTCCGGAATACAATGGACATGGAATAAATACAATGTACTGAAGAGGGCTATACTAGTTGCGGGCCGCCTCGAATAGTGCAACTCACCTAGCCCCACATCATCCGCGCTGCTACGCCTAGTGGGCTGCTAGAAATAGATATACCTGTGCAACAAAAATACACAGAAGTGTAGTATGAGTACATAAACAACGTGTACTCAATGAGTATCCCGCCTAATCTCGAACAAGTAGAGACGAGATGGTCAACTTTGACACTTACTAGCGGTCCAACGATAATATACTAAATGTGTGAGGAAATCAGGAATTTTATATAACAATTCTAACTCGCAAAGCTGTAAAACAGGCAATACACCTTCAACAAATAATAAAGGATTTTCAAGGTTTACTTTTCTCTATTTTATCAATTTATCTCAAGCCATGAAAGGCAGTATCAACGTATAAAATTCTCAGGCAACAATATATAAATCATGCGCAAATCATGCCGAGGTGACGGCCCACTCCAACAGAAATGAAATGTGCACTTGCCGAGGGTCGACGGCGCGCCTATAGATGCATCTATGTAATCTGTCGAGGCGTTCGGCCCGTTCCAAAATAAACACATAGAGACATTCAGTCAATAAGCCAACATGGGGCAATTATTCAAAGGAAAGCTAATTCTCTTTATTAATTTAGGAAAAATGAAGTTTAAACCCTTTTTAGAAATTCGTTTACTGATTCGATGTAGTTTAAGCAGTTCAAGCTATCAATAGGTTCGTAAATAATTGAAGTTTAGCATACTTTTGGGTCCTAACTACCCGGACAATAACATAGTAGTAGCTACGCACGGACTCTCGTCACCTCGTGCGTACGTAGCCCCACAAATAGGAGCACATAATCAATTATTTCACCTATGGGGAAAATTCTCTCTCACAAGGTTAGAAAGGAGACTCACCTTGCTCCGAAGATCCATAACAGGCAATCCATGCCCTTCCGGGGACTCCAATTGATGCACCATGCTCCAAAACTAGCCAACGGTTACGCAAATCCATTAATTTATGCTCCAATATTCATTACAAACTAATCTATAGAAATTCCTAACTCCGATCGAAAAGTTGACCAAA